CGAGGGGCCCCGCCCCCCGGCCTGTGCCGCCCTGCCGGCCGGGCAGGAACAAGAAGAGGAGGAGGGCGGTGGTGCACATCTGCCGGCAGCGTGCATGTCTGAGGGCTGGGCGGGGGCAGGAGGCTCGAGGCCCAGGAACCTGTCAGCCTTGCGCTGCCTCTTCCTGAACAGCTATGGTGGCCTGCGGCCCCATACCAGGAGCAGGGCCCAGCAGAGGCGCTCCCCGCCTGTCCCCTCGGCCCTGGGCCTCTGTCCAGGTGGTCTGGACTCACTGTGGGGAGGTCGACCCCTCTTGTCCGAGGCCACAGGCACCAGGAACACACCCTCGTGCTGCCATCACCAGCTGTGCACAGCCTGGGGCGACCCAGCGGCGACAGCGTGAAGATGGAGGGGAGCAGGGCGGGGCGGGGCCGAGGGCACGGGGACTCCCACGAGCAGCAGGGGAGCCTGGGCCACTCCTGCTCAGGGAGGGCACGCCCCGGAGTCCTGGAGAGTCATGGCCGCGACACCTGGGGCAGCCACAGGCACAGGAGGAAGAGCACGAAGAGGAGGAGCTGGTGGAGGTGCGGGGAGGGCGGCGGAGGTGCCCCGGCCCAGCAGAGGCAGCCCCGCGGGGCGGGGGCACGGCGGCGGGCGGTGGCGCTCACCTGCAGGTTGGTCAGCTGCTGCTGCTGGTGGGCGATGGTCTGCTTCACCAGCACGCTCTTGATGCTCTGCTCCATGGCGTATTTCTTGGCCTGCAAGAGATGATGGTGAGGGGCGCTGGGGCCCAGCCTGCGGGGACAAGCCCAGACCACGCTGCCCCCAGCCCAGGCCCCGCCCATGGGGACAAGCCCGGACCACCCTGCCCCCAGTCCAGGCCCCGTCCCGAGTCCTCTCACCTTCTGGAGGGCCTCCTGCTGCTCGGGCGTCAGGGGAGGCAGCCCCAGCTTGGCACCCGTACTTTGCCCGTTCTCCATCTTGATGGAGTCCGTGCCCTGGGGGGAGCAGGGGCATTGCTGAGCAGTTGGCTGGGGCGGGCCACAGCCCCTCCTCAGGGAGACAGGCCTAGGTGTGGCTCCCGCCTGGCCTGTGTGCGACCCCCCCTGCCAGCACTTCTTTCCCAGGACACACGGGCAGGACGTGAACGCAGGGAGGCTGATACCTTGGGATCCTGGGCTGTCACCGAGAGAGAGATGGTGGGAGGGGAGGAGCCTGGGCCTCCACCCCAAGACCCCAGGACATCCAGCCTCAGCTTCTCCCAGACGGGGAGATGAGGGCCAGGGCTCTCTGAGTGCTCTGGGACTTGCAGCACCCAAGCCTCTCCAGTCTCTTCGGGGCCCTGCTCCGGACACAGGCGCAGTGTCCCTGGGGTTTCTGAAACCACCCAAGGAGCAGATCTGGGCAAAGGCCCAGCCCCTCACCCCAGACACAGCACACCTCCTGGACCATCAGGGCGCTCCCCCAGACTCCTGCATGGGGGTGCGAGGCGCAGGGGCAGAGACTAGGAACACGCGGGCCACAGAGGCCACGGCATGCTGTAGACCGCACAGATGTGGGGCATGTTACACGCTGCCCCTCTCAGGGCTGGGCTGTCTGCAGGAGGGCCGCAGGAGGGGGAGCAGGGGAGAGGCATGGCCAGGGCAGCAGAGATATTGGAGCACTGGCTGGCCCCTGCAGACGCAGCCTCGAGGCGCACACAGAGGAAGGAAGGACCCGCGGACAGCCCAGCAAGGGGAGGGGCAGAGAAGGCAGAAAGGGGCCTGCTGACCCCAACCCCAAGGGCCCCCATCTTGGCTGACCAAGTGCAGGGTTTCCAGCCCAGGGTCAAAGACTAAGAAGCCCTATAGGGCCCTCCCCAAGGAACTGGAGATCCAAGCAGACCCCAAGGGCCACAGGCTGGCTGCGAGTGGGCCCAGATGCCCCAGCCTGGCTCACACTAGGCCATCCTCTTCGTGCTCCCACCTGGCCCCAAGCCTAGTCCTCAGCAGTGGGGGCGAGGGCCCCTGGAGCCAGAGCTGACGCTGGGGCAGGCTGTCACCATGGCGACCAATGCCAATCCCCCTCAGCCTCCAGAACCTCTTCAATCTCCCCTTTGTCTGGGCGGACAAAAGGCCCTTCTCCCACCAAGCAAGGCCAGCTGGAGCTCTCTGGCATTCCCAGATCCCTGGATCCAGCCCCCACCCCACCCCACCCCCGCCTGCTGTGTGCCCGGAGGCCCAGCACGGCCCAGACCAGGGCCAAGACCACGGTGCCCACAGACCCTGCACTGCTTTCCGGCAGGCCTGTCGTTCCCGAGTGCCACCGAGCATGACGAGGGCGCCTGCGCCTCCGGCTCCTCACGAACCACACGCCCCAGAACCCGGGCACACCCTCGCGCACGCCGACGCGCAGAGCACCACCTCGCGCAGATCCCTGCAGCCCCTGGCCAGGCCGACCACCGCGGCCACTGTCCCAAGGCCGGAGCTGGGCCGGGGGGCCAGTGGACAGGCAGCGTCTGGCAGAGAGGCCAGGCTAGGACTCGGCCCTGGGCACGTGCGGGCAGGCCTGAGGGACAGGAGCTGGAGGGCTGTACCTGTGGAGGCTTCCATTTGTCTCCCGCTGCCGCCCCTGCCGCCGCCGCCCCGGGCGCCGCGCGGCCCCG